CTTCCGCCGCCATGGAATCGAAAACGTCTCACTTACAGAGCTCGGCCGCTATCCGCCCGAGCCTATCTCTAAAAAAGCCGAGTAGAAGGTCACCCCTATGTGACCGCGAATCGAGAAGAGGAATCTGTGTGAACGAAAACCCGCATGCCCTCGTCATATCCCGAACAATTTAGAGACGGCCAACTAACTAAAAATTCCGTTTCGTTGGCAGCGAAAGTGGAAGACAAAAGACGAGGAAGAAGGGAAAAGAGGGAGATTCGCGGCGCGGAATCAATATCGGTTCGATCGGGTATCGATAACGCCTCGTAAATATAATAAAGACGCCTCGCCTCCTCCTCGGCCGTGCACAAGGGTCGGGGTAGGCCGGTGCCCTAAGAGGAGAGATAATGGTCGAGGCTCTGGGCACCCGGTAGGCCTCAACCCCCTCTCCGCTCGCTCGCTCCCTCCCTCCCTCCCACCCTGCAGTCGGGCGCAACACGTTGCGGGCAGAGGCGACGCGAGAACCGAGTCAGTGAGATTCAGCCCGAGCCGGCGAACGGTCGCCTCTCTCGCCGCGTTCGCTCGTCCGTCCTCTGCTCGAGAACACACCATCCACGTTTCCACGAACTCTCTCGTTCGCGCGTGTGCTCTCTCCCCGTTCTTGGCCCGCGCTTGGAACGATAAAAAACCGATCGCGTAGTAAGTAAAGACGCTTCTATCATCTTTTGCATTTTCGACGATCCCCTTGGCGAAGATCGAAAGGATACAGAAGTGGAGGAGGAGAAGAGGAGGAGGAGGAGGATATATATCCGTCGGTGGTGGCGAGCGGAGACTTGGACGACCGGTACGAAGGATGTCGCGCGTGGTGGACCACCCTGACTGTCGTTGTCGTCACCGTGTATCGGTGACGACGATCCTCGCAGCGATCTTACGGTGAGATCGCGCGGGCCCCGCGTGTGCGTGTTTCTACTTTTCTTCTTTTTTCTCTCTCTCTCTCTCTCTCCTCCCCCCTTTCCTTCCCCTCCGCATAAATAGACTCTCGATACTACTCTCCGATCTCGGATTACGAGGAAACAGGTCCGCCAAACTTATACGCTGCTTGCTTATGTGTACATGTATATGTATATACATACGTGTGTGTGATCATTTATCTCGTTGCGTAACAGAGATACGAGGTATATATGTAACGTGGAGTAACGTTTATCGTGAAAACAGTGTTATGCCGGTAATAAAGATATCGGTGAAGAAGGAAGGACAAATTTCGATTTGTTTTCGGGAAAGTGGTGACTGACGACGCGTTGGAGGTGTTGCCTTCCTCCATGCGCGGTGAGAGGAGAAGAAGCGGAGACTGATCGAGGCGAAGAGGGGAAAAGCGTTGGTTGGGAGATAGCAGGTGAATGTGACAAGCCCATCAGCTTCGCGCGCGACGCCCGTGGGAACCCGTGCCTGGATCCCTGGATTTAATGCACGCCGGAAATCGCAGCATGGAGGACATAGTGAGTACACCTGTGAGTCCACCGATCTTTATTTAAGAGGATTTCTTCTCAACGCGATCGTAGAGTATACAGGCGATGATAGAGTATCGACCGATTCCTCGTAATTACGAGATGAAAATATTAGGATGGGCGATGAGTGAATAAGCGACGTTGTATTGCTCGCAACGTTTCTCCTTGTGCGTAATTAACGCGAAAGAAAGTTATCACGAATACTTGGAGTAATGAGTTGAATATAATCGCGATTGCTCGAGGTGTGATTCGAACGTGACAGACAGGTGACGCAAGAGTGAAAAATGATAATTTAATAGAATAAATAAGCGTTTTATCCGTGGGGGATAATTTTAATTTTATGGAGAATAGAAACGTTTCTTCTTCGACTTTTCAGCGTATTCGGACCTCCTTTCATTAGTGGCGACGATGAACGGTTTGATATGATGATAAGTCAACGTAATACGCGAGATTCGAATCGATGCGTTGGTGTAAGTCAACTGGTGTTACGATCAACGCTGCGCGTTCTCCGACGACGGAACATTGGACATATCGTTCTGAAAACTATCCGTAGAACAAAACGCGAATGATGAATGGACGCTTTGTCGATCGAATCAATTCGATAATTGGACGATGGATCGTAATCGAATCGTTTCATTCAGTTTCATCTCTGTAAAAATTCCCTCGTAATGAATGACCGATTACTCGCGCCAAACTCGAGGAACTGTGTTTACTTTTCACTTTCATCTACGTTGCTCTGTAAAAATTCCCTCGTAATGAATGACCGATTTCTCGCGCCGAACTCGTTCAAATTTCAAAATCTGTCGATCGAAAATAAAATCTCGTGAGAAAATAAGCAGCTATGCTTACGTTCTCTCTGTAAAAATTTCTTCGTAATAAATGACCGATTGCTAATTGACTCGCATCGAAATCGTTCAAATTCCAAAATCTGTCGATCGAAAACAGAATCACGCGTGGAGAACTAAGCGACTATGCTTACGTTCTCTCTGTAAAAATTCCTTCGTAATGAATGACCGATTCCTAATTGATTCGCATCGAACTCATCAAAATTTCAAAATCTATCGATCGAAAATAAAATCGCGCGTGAGTAAGCGGCTATGCTTATGTTCCCTTCCCTGAAAAATTTCTTCATAATGAATGACCGATTCCTAATTGACTCACGTTAAACTCCAAATTCCAAAATCTATGAATCGAAAACGGAATCGCGCATAGAAAAGCGAGCAGCTATACGTTCACTTTCATCTTCCTGCCCTGTAAAAATTCCCTCGTGAACGAAGAATGATTCGACGTGGAATGAGCAACTGCTAATTGACCCATCCAAATTACATCGACGCTTCTATTAATTCTTCGATCCGCAAACTTTGGAAGGTCGGAATCGCGCTTGTATGCTTGCGCTGGCGTTGGACGGACGAGCGTGGACGCGCGTGACAGGAGGGGCGTCGTATTAAGGCAGCGACAGACAAATTTCCGAGGCGAGTGGAGGCAAAAAACGCGGAGTCGAGTTCCGTCCCCGGGCTGCGTGGAAGGATCGGAGGAGCTCGTTACGCCCCGCTCGATTAGTCTCTCGAGCAACACACGTGCACCGCGCGTACGCCGCGGACGAGCAAATTCATTAAAACCGGTTCATTTAATAGGCGCGCGCATTACGCGGTCGCGATGAAATTTCACCGACCAAACGCTCGCAACAGCCTCCTCCTCTCGCGATTTATCTCGCGAAGAAACGGCGCGAAGCCCGATCCGTCTCTCCGTGGAACCGGTTGGGACGAAAACTAGAGAAATCGCGAGAATTTTTCTTTTCAAGAGAAAGGGTTGGACGTTTCGAGACGGGGATGATCCTTCTTCGTGTTTGTTTATTACACCGGGCGGTGTAAATTCTAACTCGTTTAAACTCGCATTCAAGCGAGATACGCGACAAAAACAAGACCATTCTTCGGGTGTAACCCTCGTTCGCGTGCCTGCTGACCATTGAGAAGGCCTACGACTAATTTGCACTCGGGAGGAAGGGGGGAGATCGTTATTAAAACAAGCGCAATTTCCGTTCGATCGAATTCCATTCCGATTCCGCTTCTTTCTTTCTTTCACGATTTTTCTCTCGAAAATCAAATCGAAGAGATACGAAATTATATAAATAAAGGGAGGAAGGAGGTTGGTGATACACGATACGTAGTAAATTTAACATAAATCTTCTCTCGCGTGATATTTCATTCTCCTTTTCCGCCGTGGATTCGTCATAGGGTATAATTAAGACTCGCAAACTACTCCTCCTCCTTCTCCCCCTCCCCCTCCTCGGACGAATTCAACCGATTCGCCGGTAATAAAACGCACAATGGGCGCAGATAAGATTGCGGAGAGAGCTCATTGTTGTTTGGAGGAAAGCGCGGCTTTCGATCTTCGTAAATCATGTTGTTGCGCAAACATCGTTAACAGGCTGTCCGAATGATCCGAAGCTCGCGATGGATCGCGCGCGACCATGTACCGAGCCTCCCACGTTACAAGGGAGGGACGACTCGATTAGAGGAAACAGCGGGGTCGGTTAATGGCGCTTTCTCGTCCGCGCTTCGCGAATTTTCTCTTCTTACACGAGTACGCGTTGTCGAGGAGTTGGTTCTTCCTTCTCCTCTTCTTTTTCTACGAGCGAGGCGGGATCCATCCCTCTCGAAACGATGTAAAATTTCAAAGATATCGAGTCGAGGTATATTCTAGTCTCGATAAAAATGGTCCAATTTTTCGAAGGGTACGAGTATCGAGATATCGAGGGGTCCGCATTGAAAAATACCGCGCGGCCCATGGATCATAATCGACTCTATAACGCGGCATGAAATTGCGAAAACGACGACGACTCCGCTCGGAGTCGATGGAATTTACAGCCGAACGTGTTGACCGGTTCGAACCGAGCGAAACTCCGCCAATGACATTGCTCGTTTCTCTGCCATCGTGAACGACGCGTTATTTTACAGATATTAAATCACGATATCGAAATGAAACGAATCGTCTGTCCACGAGAGAGGAGAAGGTATCGATTTCTCGCGCCTTTTTCTCTTTCTCTTTCCTTTTTTTTTTTTTTTTTTTTTACTCGCGGCATCGCGCCTAGCTCCTCTCCGCAATTTCGCCGGTTTAAACGTCGGTTGTTAACTGGAACTTGCCGGCGACACACCCCTCTCTTCCCCCTCCTAACGCCTTCCCTTCCTCTGCCTCGAGAGAGAAAGAGACAGAGAGACAGAGACCGAATTACTTTTATTATTAGGAGCAACGTGTAATTATATGGTATATAGCATCGGGCAGAGGCAGTTCCATCCGGTAGTGGAATTACCGCGGTAATTTTAATTTTTTTTTTACACTCCGTGCTACGCGAATAACGATGAAAAGTTTTACTGCTACGTACGCGTGTACGCGTTTCGATGTATCG